ACTTATGGTTTCTTCCCTAGGGGGGAGGGGGAAGAAACTTCATAAGTTTAGGTATGGGGGGTCGTACCGAACCCCCAAAAAGGGGGTCGTACGGGCTTCACCAAAATCCCCATCGAATGCTGTGCCCTGTCACTAGTTCTGGTCATGTCTTACTCTGATGGAATCTGTGTACTCTTGTGGAGCTGGATCAAGCTCTCGAGCAACCATGATAAAACCCTCGGCAGTCATGATCAGGCTTTCAAGAAAACCGCTCAAAATTAATCTTTCATAATACGGCAGTGTTATATACGTGTTCTCCACCTGAAGTTACCTCGAGCCAGGCCTCACGGGCTTCAAATTGACAGGACACAATTGCCACTGCTACTTCTTGTGACTGTACTGCTTCTGCAACCTAGTTGCTCTTCAGTTCTAATCCTCCTTATCTTCTGATTCAGAGCCTGCAGCATGAGCAGTCATCCGGATTAGGAGTTCGCGTTGTAATCGCATTGAAAAACTACGAGACGTGGCAAAGCGCGCGCGCGACAGCGTTGTGCGCGCCGGTAGAACAGATGAGGCTGGGATATGGTAGCGGTGTGCTGCGTGTCTGCGCCCTGAGCTGCTTTTAAGATGGTGTATGGAGGAGTAGCCTGTCCCACGGTTCTGAGGCTCCATCCTCGCTCATGTTGGGGAGGAGATATCGCTACATTTCGACAGCTGAGGGCCTGTTAACCCCGTACATGCCAAGGATACACATTGCAGGTGAGCGTGCATTTCGTCTTTGAGCTGTAAGGAATCTATTTGAAAATGTGCATAACAGACCTTCAATGCGAGAATTGAACCTCCCACCATTACGTGACTCCCTTCCCTATACCCGGTTCCTCTGTAGGGTGGCGACGCTCATTTGAGTACTGAATTGCTCCTGGGTTTGCTACAGATGACATGGCGTCATCTGAGCTTTGTTAACTACATATAACGCGATGTCGTGAATGTATTGTAGCTGAGAGATGGCGATTAAAAATCGCCTTGCGGATGCTCGATCCCAGCTTCGCCATGCGGATATCTGTCGCTCAAGAGGATCTGAAACGATTAGCGATGTCGGAGAAGGGTTAACCGGATGCGCACAATGAGAATGGCTGCGCTATGGAACATGGAACAAGACTAGCTGAAATAAGGCACATAAACAAAAAAAAACGAAATATGTTAGAAAGACTCCTACAACGTGGTCGTACTTTGTTAACGTACTTGGCCCTTTGTTAATCCCCAAGAAACAATTTCAAGTGATGCCCATCCTCGAAGCGTCATTAACGAGCGTTTTCAACAAAAATCGCTGCACACTAATGCCATTATCTTAAAGGGCCCGTTTAATATTGGAGGCTTCAGTAAAAATAACCAAATAATCGCCAACAAGTCTAAGATCTCAAATAACGGGTAAGCGCATGAAAACCTTGCAATATGTCCGGGAAAGGTAATCACATTACTGGTGATACCTCATCTCTTCACTGAATTCTTAAGAGGCGGAAAAAGGCCATTTATCAACAGTTGGTCTGACCCAGTGCGACGAGTTGTGGGCGTGCGGAATAGGGTGGGCGTGGCGGTCGCTAACTCAAGCAGTGTTGACACGCTTAGAGAGCGCCTTTTACCGGAAAAGCCGCCGCAATCCCCCTGCTCAGGGGAAAGGTATCCATCCCTAGGCATATTCACCCTACACGCCTAGTTAATCTACCGTGCTCTCTGCCGAGTGAGCTATTATAGATAGTCCCGAGCGCCTGTAGAGCAGTTGCACGCCCTCAGTAAATTAATTACTGTTGATAACGTGGCAATCAGTCGGGGCGGTGCCAAGTGGGGCGGAATAAGCCCGCTTACTGCTCCCTTGCACTGCCAAGGGTGAATGGTTAGTGGCCGATTTAGGATGAAAACAACCAGTGGTGGAAACGCCGCAGGCGGCCTCACACCATCCCTGTGGAGACCGCCCCGACTGATTGCGACGATATTCAACTCATTTCATGTTTGAATACATGTCTTGAATTAGCTGACCATATTTACTTCAGATCTTCAGTAAATAAATCACATCATAACGAAATCAATGAGCTCAAAATCTTTGGGCACTCGTGAAACTGCACATTTTTCGTGTACACTCAATTATTATTGTGCAACATGAAAGCAATCAAAATGAATAAATTATAGATCTATGAAATAAGAGCAAGATTTACAATAAATATACTAGAGCTGCAAGTAAAAGCGTTGGCGTAATCAGACACGTTGATGTTGACGATGTTGACCGTTGAGTGGTAGCTTCAGTAGATGGCGATGGCTCTGGTTCTGGATTTGGAGTGGTCTCCGATGAGTACAATCCAATCACCAATCCGCCCTGCAATATTGTTGGTAATGTCTGGATCTTTCCATTACACAATCGAATGACGAGTACCCTCCCTTCTGGGGTATAAAGCGCACCTACACTCGAAATCCCCGGAATGCGATAGGGGTGGCCGCGTACTTCAACTAAGCGTGGCGCTGGCTCTTGATGGACTATTTTCAGTTTGGGACAAGTGTGGCCATGTCTTCTTCCAGCAATGAACATATGACAGTGTCTCAAAATGAAATGTCCCATGAATTACCCGTCCTATGCCATGTTCGGCCCCGCCTAGTCGGTTCCTGGGATAAGGAGTTATCCAGTGGTGCTCCATGCACATGACTGGGCGTGCGGCGCGGCACGGTTGGGAACGCAGCCAGGGCGGCCTTGTTTCGATGAAGATGTCATCTTGAGTTTGCTACAATTGGTGAGAAACCTGCCCTGGCCGGGCTCCAGACTCCGCTGCCGTCCACGCCTTATCGCTTTCAGGGATCACAACTATATGAGCGCGTGACAAGGGGCGTTAAAACTTGGTATGCATAACAGCTGTTTTTCTGCTTTTTTGTGTAATTGATTACAAAAACCCCCCATAAAATACATGTCATCAATATGAATGAAAACAAAGAAAAACCACGGAAAATTAAGGCGAGGAAGAAACATTCGCAGCGTTTGAAGCGACGGCGCGTCCTATACGTGGGTGCGCGTTATACTCCAGAGAATAAGGTAATTTATTCCACTCGGAGATACACATTTCTCGGCTGCCTATTTTGTATGATTGAAGGCACGCCACCTGCAGAGGCTGTCCCGTCACTTACGACTGAGATATGCTAGTGGCCCCACACAGTCTTAGAGGTTCACGTACATATCTGTGTGGGACCATGTTCGTTGTCTGCTTGTCTTCATTTCCGCTGCCTAATTGTCGCTGGTCTCTCGCTCACGTAGCAGTGTCTCGCTCTTTCGAATGATCGTCTATGATGAGGCTTTCGTAGGCTGTTTGGGACGTTCGCAGTGCATTTTCCTCGCCATGTAAATCAACTGATAGCCTTGGCTTCATATATGGATACTTCTGCCCACAGCTACTGCGGTCATAAAGGGCACATTACACGCTGGTCATATGGGCGGAGCCAGGCTTACAACGGTGTTTTCTCTATTGACGCACATGTTCTCTCTAAGCTGGCTTACTCTAGAAAGAAAGGACGCTTCGATAAGAAAGACGTGATGGCAGGACTAACTCCGCCCACCCGACCACGGGACCTGTTTCCTTGAGCATCCATTACGTGACTGAGACATTTTATAAGAGCGGCGCGGTTCATGAATGGCACAGATCGTACCGGTTATCAGGAAACTTTTAGAGAGTAGATCGGGGTCATCGTTTTTAATATGCTGAGGTGTAAATCAACATTTCTACTCTCTCAGTGGAAAAAGCCAGCATTCGCTTTTTCGCTCGACCCTTGGTGTTAAGTCGTCAGCAAAGCAGAATTGTTGTAATTTTCAAAAACTGGCCTTCATTTCCACTTAACTTTCATTTCATAGATACTTAAAATTTGAGATGGCGCCTATAAGACCTATTTTTTGCCACTGTTTTCGGGTCATGTATTATCGGAGATCCTCCACTGGCTCTAACGTTCCATTTGGCGCGCTCAGCCAGCGGAGGTTACTGGCACTCCCAGGCGTCAAAAGTGACATAACATTTACTCAGAATGCCTTTTTCAGCACGAAATATGAAGGAGTCCGAGCACCACAGCCTTACAACTCGTCCAATCTTGACGCTCTCATGCATACGGCTATTTCCCAGGTACGTTTTGGGAAAGTAGAGGTCTAAAGTACTGCATGACTCGGTTCATACACTGTGCAACTACTCACCTATCTGAGAGGGATTATAACATTTTCAGGTTCACTCACCTGCCATTAAGTCACTGATTAGTTATGTGGTACAGTTCCAAATTCTGAAGTCAATGTGCCCAGCTGGAACAGTGCTGGTAAGTTATTGACTTCAAAGTAACAACAGAAAAACTAGCAGTTATTGAGAACATGCAGTCACGGTGTGAAAAATGATTTCAGAGCGAAGGATGTATTCTCTCTGAAGTCACCACAGAGAAGCTTCGTGAGGTTATGAAGAAGGGATCGTCTATCACTTGGTTACAAGCACTGGAACAGCTCACTGGATCCAGTGGGTCATTTCTTATGATACAAGGCTAAGTAAGGGTACGTAGTCATTACTCCAGTCTAAAATTCTTTCTTACAGAGCAGCTTGATGCTTCACCTCTACTGGAGTACTACGAGCCACTGGCTAACTGGCTAAGGAACACCAATGAGGTTGACCAGACCGTTCTAGGCTGGGATGGTGATGGCAGTGCTTTCACAGCGTGAGTACAGAATAAAGGCTTTCTTATTTTTAGCAGGTTACTTTCATTTACAGTTTCAATAAAAAGTACTGTAAAATTTGCTCTCTTTTAATTTTAATCAATTTAGTGAAGAGATTCCGAAGCCGAGAGCTGGTATGGACGGCGGTAGCGGAATCCTTAGCGAAGATCGCGTTGCTTTCCCTGGTAAGTTTCGTTGCCATTGCGGACCGCCTCTTGTGTACACGCCTTTTACGCCCTCTTCTCCACTGCGCATGAAGAGGCGTGACGGTAAGGGTGGGGTTGGCACGGTGCCAGTCCGTTTTCCACAAGTTATTGGAGCGAAAAAGGGACAACAATTGGAGGAAAACGACTGAGATGAGCGATATTCCACAGCATTGTCGTTGCCGAAATAAGAAAAGAAATGGGGTGGAATTGCGCCAAACCCATCCCCCTGACACGCCCTATCTCCGCAGGAAACATGAGTATATCTCCTTTTGTCAAACTTTGCCATACTCTGTTAGAGCATTTATTTAAAAGAAAGAAATCGTTTATGAATGAAATTTACCAGTTAGTAAATCGAGGCAATAAATAACCTAAATCCCTATGGTTAGAAAGTTGTAATGTATACTGCCAAAGAGGATGGTAGGTGGAAGACTTTATTGAAATTGGCCTGACGTTTCGACGGGATCGTTTAGCGGTGTAGAGGGTGCAGCAAACCTTGAGCTATATTTAGGCCTCTGAGGACGACGATCCCGTCAAAACGTCAGGCCAGTTTCAATAAAGTCCACCTACCAACCTCTTTGGCAGAATACATTACAGCTTGAAAGTTCACAGAGGTTTTATGAAGAGAGAAGCTGGACATCTCATGGTCAGAATGAACTGCTGCCATCTTTAAGGAGGTCTGTGTGCAAATGGGCAAGAGTGCCTTTTGGATTCGCACTGTAACGGTACTATCTGCATATGCAATGATGGCCTGTACACGCTGGAAATCGGTACAACAGTGAACTGTGTCCCAGGAAATCCGGCTGATAGCGGCTTCGGTGATGGAAAGGTGAGGGTATTCTCTTTGGTTGTTTTTTCTAAGCTTTCTTAGCTAGCTTCTACGCTCACGAGGAATGAGCTTACAATTTGACCGCGTCCTTGGAGAACAAATATAATCCGGGTATCCCATATGGATAAATTATAGTTTGGGTCGCTGTCCTTTTTCTGATTGTTTTTTTAATGTCAGCCACCAATATTGGCCATCGCCTTGTTTTTTCCTTCAAGTGTTTGAGACGGTTCTGCAAGGAGTCGGACCCGTTTTACTCCGCTGATTTTCTTCGAGTGATCTCTTTGGTAGTGTTACAAAATCTCTTGAAACGTTTTAAGTTACACTGCTGCCTTGACGCTTCATCCAGTGGTGTATGTGATCCAGATATACAGCATTACACCCATGTAACGGCTAAGGTGTTGACGAGCGACGTCGCATGCGCGACATTCGCACCATGACCGAAACCAAAACGGCATAGAATTAACATGCAACGAAATTTTATTATCGAATGAATAAATTTTACAAGAAAAATAATCACAAGTTACCCTCACGTATCCCTGGTTCGTGAGGACGGGACGACTTCTGACCATTTTTCTCCCTAAAGAGTTAAATGACTTTTGCAGATTCCCTTTGACCAGCCTCAGAGGCTGCAAAAAAGTGAATTAGGTTTTGTTCGGAATGCCTTTTTCAGCAGAAAGTATGTTTTAATTTAATTTTATTTGCATTTCGCATTACTGTGCGCTTAACCACATAATTAATGCAGTGTGTGAAGCCAACTAGCCTTCAAATATTAGCTAACTGGTGTACTGTGAGTCACCGATACGCGAATATAGTAACCGTAACCTCTTTTCACAGGGTGCTAACAAACTGTCACATCCTTGGCTTCAAAGGGATAGCTGTAAGAGCGCGTTTCAGACTTCGCGATCGCGCGATCCGGACCCCCTCCCTGTGTAAGTTCACCCACAGTAGCGCGATCGCGCTCTAAGGCATTCATAGTTAGCCCTGTAAAGGGGTATGTCCACTCATTTGATTACCCACTAATCGAATCCCGTCAAGGCCGACTAAAAACTTGTTCCTTCGCCTCATCTTTTAATAGGTACTGCACTGATTGGGGGCGATAAATTCCCAGACAAGCAATAGTAGCTTTGGGAGTTATTGTCCAGTCCCGCTAGCAGGGCACGCCATCGCGCGTTGTGATAAAATCCTGCAAAATACAACCCTCTCCGACTCCAGCCTCTGATATGCCCCTCCCCTTCCCTATCCTATCTACCACTTTCCTAGATTTTCCCAACTTCCTACCACTTTTTCCAGTTTTCCGGCATTTCCCGAAAAGCTCTAGTTGTTTTTCCAACGTAATGGCGGGAAAACCGCAAAAGCAACAACGGAAAACTTCTCTCCAACGCGCAAACTCTCCTCCATAGACAAACAGCCTCCCCCCCGCTCCCTTCATAGCGTCCGTGAAACAAGATGAATCAAACTATCAAAAATATTTTTTGAGACCAAATAAGACGCTCTCCCTCGGTCAGATACGCCCGCCCCCCCCCCAGTTGTGATTACCACAACATGGTGTGCCCTGCCTGGTAGGCAATTCTGATGCAATAGGTCATTTATGAGAAACGTTGGGTTAAGTGGAAAGATATGTACATGAGGGCCATGGGGCATTTAGAGGGGAATTCAGCTAATCAAAAACATTTCCCCTGACCGGGCTAAACGCAGTCTCAGCCTTGTAAATGGGTAGCGTTCTTCAGAACTCACAGCAAATTTGTGCAGTTCGAGTTGCAGTGATATAGTAGGCGCTTCTCCAATGAAAGCTCATTTTCGCTCAACTTCTGGTGACTCTTTATCTTTTCATCAAAATATTCTCTAGTACGGCTAAGAAGAGATATCAACAATTATGAGAGGTCCGAAATTAAAGGCTCGGGAACCCTATAAATATTGCATGTTATTTTAGATGTTACCCAAAAATCTTAAAGTGATATTAGATCATGCTTGAGATGCCTTTTGTCAATGTATTTCTTTCGGTTGAACTAAGGTGAAAGTGAAGGTGTTGCGGATCGTATAGGTAGCCTGGTTTGGTCGTATAGCCCAGTGACCTACTTGGGCCGTGGCGAAGTGATAAAAGTTCACATCTCACAATGAAATGATATCATCCACCTTTCGTTCGTACATGGTGTTTGAGTCCGGGTGAAGGGAATCTCAATGTGCAAAGATATTGACCCACTCGAGAAAAATACTTAATGACCCACTTGAAAAAAAAAACTAAGTGTTGACAAAATAATGCAGATCAAAAGTGCGGAGTTTCAGTAATGGAAATTGTTCTCTCCTTC